GTGGCGTCAGCCTAGCTCACAGCAACCTCAAACTCCTGGGCTCAAGCCATCCTCTTGCCTCAGCCTCCCGACTACAGGCATGCGCCACCATGCCCGGCTAATTTTTTCCCTATATATTAGTTGGCCAATTAATTTCTTTCTATTTATAGTAGAGACGGGGTCTCACTCTTGCTCAGGCTGGTTTCGAACTCGTGACCTCGAGCAATCCGCCCGCCTCGGCCTCCCAGACATCCCTGTCTTCTATTCACTAGATGCCACTAGCATGAGCTGCCTCCCCGGTTGTGACAACCAAACACGTCTCCAGACACTGCCAAATGTCTGCTGAGCAGCCACATGTCCTCTGGCAAAGAGCCACTGGTCTGAGCCCGCAGTGGGAACCGCCTCACTGCAGGTGGCTCAAAGGATCTGGATTTAAGAAGGAGGGTGAACACGGGCCAGGGTTCAGCGCCAAAGCACAGTGAGGCGGCTGCACACCCCACCCCGCAGCGGGATGCAGATGCACGCGATGCACGGGATGCAGATGCACGCGCCGCCCCTTCTCCTGGCAAGGAAAATCGTGTCCGCAGGCAGTCTGCGGTGAGAGGCTCAAGATTAGTCAAAGACCAGATAGTACCTGCGGGATAATGGAGCCACTGACTCCCGCAGGCATGGGGAAGTGGCTTACAGGTAAGGATGGGGAGGAGACTGAAAGCTTTTAGAGATATTGTAAGATCACAGATTGTGACTGAGACACTAAGTAGTAGTAAGCCCCGTGACATTTTGGGAGTGGTGGCCAGCTCCTTACTGGGCTGGTCTGGGCAGGCAGTGTTAGCTCCAAGGTCAAGAACTCCTTGGGAAGCTAATTCAATCCCCCTCAAAATGTTGACAAGAGCTGGCAGTGTCTAACCCTACCTACCTCCTGGACTAGAAAGATTTCTTACAAATCCTAAAATACCTGGGCCCCACCTACAGAGATTTTAAGTTCACTGACCCTACCATGGAGCTCCAGGCATTTTCTGTAACTCCCATGAGAATGATAATATACTGTCAAGGTTGAATACGGCCGCTAAGACTTGTAAATTTTACTGTGCCAGATCTCTTTTTCTCCCCTTGGATGATGCCTTATCCTTGACCCGTGCTCTTTCAGAGGCCCGTGAGCACTTCTGAGAACAGTTCATTAAAATGACAAGGACTCCCAAAAGGGAAAAGACATCATCAGCTATCTGGAGAAAGACTTGGAACGAAGAGATTTTTTTTCTTAACAGAAAAATGTTTCTATAGCACTTATAGCTGTTCCGAGGTGACCCTACAGTAGCTGGTCATGTCTTCAACCTCAAAATACAGGAAAAAATTGTGCCCAAAGAGAGAAATGTGCATTGAACACCTTGGACCGGGCTGATGGTAGCAGCTTGAGGAAAAGCAGGTCTTTGTACCTCTGATAACCAAACTTTGACACTTCTTAGTGTTTCCATGGTTTGTTTTTACCCATAACATAAAATTAACCATTTTTAAATGAGCAATTCAATGGTATTTAGTATATTCACAATATTGTGCAACCACCACCACCTCTAAGTAGTTCCAAAATGTTGTCATCAATCCAAAATGAAGCCCATTCAGTGTCAAGGACTCAATATAAAAAAACAAAAAAAAACAAAATGAAGCCCCTTAAGCAGGTACTCCCCATTCCTCCTGCCCTAGCCTGCACATCAACACGTGAACAAACAGATATACAGTTAATATGAAATGAAGCATTGGCCGGGCGCGGTGGCTCACGCCTGTAACCTAGCACTCTGGCAGGCTGAGGCGGGTGGATTGCTCGAGGTCAGGAGTTCGAAACCAGCCTGAGCAAGAATGAGACCCCGTCTCTACTATAAATATTAATAGAAAAGGCCGGGCACAGTGGCTCACGTCTGTAATCCTAGCACTCTGGGAGGCCAAGGCAGGCGGATCGCTTAAGGTCAGGAGTTCAAAACCAGCCTGAGCGAGACCCCATCTCTACTAAAAATAGAAAGAAATTACTGGCTACCCTTGGGGAAAGAGGATCTAGGACCCAGTTGATGCAGTTGTATGGCTTGTCCCTATATATACGTTTTAAAATTATTATTTAAATAGATAATCTAGGCATGCAGATTCAAAGGAAACCTTAAATGACACAAAAAAAGATTTGTCTCGTTTTTAATCAAAAAGATACTGTTATCAGTACCAATTAAAAATTTCTTCATTTGAATATCATAAAAAAAAAAAGAAATTAATTGAAAACTGAAAAATACATATACAAAAAATTAGCTGGGCATGGTGGGGCGTGCCTGTAGTCCCAGCGACTCGGGAGGCTGAGGCAGGAGGATCGCTTGAGCCCAGGAGTTTGAGGTTGCTGTGAGCTAGGCTGATGCCACGGCACTCACTCTAGCCTTTTTCTCACTCTCTTTTTTTTTTTTTTTTTTCATTTTTCTGCCCTTGGACATTAGGAAAAAAATTATTTTTCTAAATAAAAAATTAAAAACACAAAAGGCAAGGAAGAAGCCTGCCTGTGCAAAGGCTAGTAGCCACTGTCACAGGAACGCAGGCAGATGTACTGAACTGAGATTCGAAGGGACAAGGTGGCCAGAAAAGCTGGCAGCTTCGTGGTCCAGAAAAAGGGTGTTACAGCTTCTTCACTGTTCCCATATCTTCAAGGGTACTGTTAGTGAGCTGACTGGGGCTTCGGGTGACATGCTGAGGACTGTGAAACAATGTACAGCATTACATGTGGATACCTGAACTTCAAGTCCCTCGATGAGCTGTGACAGGCTTGCTTACGGCAAGATCAGTACGGAGTGAACTGCTTCCCCAGGTGCCACCGTTACCCCAATCTCTAGGCAAACGCGGCGCCACCTTCCTGCAGGATCTGGTTCATGAGGTCTACACTGTGGGAAAACACTCCGAAGAAGCAAACAGCTTCCTGTAGCTCTTCCATGGAACAGAATGAAGAAAAGCACAACCCATTTTGTAGAAGGGGGGATGCTGGCCACGAGGAAGACTAACTACACCAACAGGCTTATTGTTGTCGTTGTTTTGAGACAGAGTCTTGCTCTGTTGCCCAGGCTAGAGTGCCGTGGCGTCAGCCTAGCTCACAGCAACCTCAGACTCCTGGGCTCAAGCAATCCTCCTGCCTCAGCCTCCTGAGTAGCTGGGATGACCGGCATGCACCCACCGCCATGCCCAGCTAATTTTTTCTGTATATTTCTAGTTGTCCAGCTAATTTCTTTCTATTTTTATTAGTAGAGACAGGGGTCTCGCTCTTGCTCAGGCTGCTTTTGAACTCCTGAGCTCAAACAATCCACCCACCTTGGCCTCCCAGAGTACTAGGATCACAGGTGTGAGACACTGCGCCTGCCTCCTGCCTGGAGTACTAGTTGTGGGACATTGGCAAAACCAATTAAACTCTCTTTTTAAAAAACTCAGTTTCCAGCTGGTCCAAAGCCAGCTGGTGTTCACAGTCAGATATAGATTGAACTCTTTGTTCTACTCCTTTCCTCCTCATTACTTTGCTTGTCTAATAAAAAACAGTGAGTTTCCTCATCTATAAAATAAGAAGATTGTTGAGTGAATTAAATAACTCAGCATCTGCAGGTGCTTAGAACAATGCCAGGCATATACTAGCCACTAAAGAATATGTAGTAAGTCCCTGCAAGCTACCTACTGACATAGGGCCAGACTTACCAGGGACACGTACATTCCCAGTCCCCACTGCAGAGCACCAGCACGTGGGCACCTGTTGGGGACATCAGTGCTCAGGCCCCACTCCAGCCCAAGCCCTCCAGGTGATCCTGGTGGCCCTGAGACATGGAGACCCACAGATGCACCGCTGCATTCCTCAGTCTCCCTGGTGTCTTTTTAAAATTTGAATTCAGACTCAGAAGGTCTGGAGTGGACCAAGATTCTGCATTTTAAGAAAATCCCAGGAGATGCCAATGGGGCTGGTTTGAGTTATAAGGTGAGTCCAGGCTCAATAAATATTAGGTAATTGACAGAATCCGGGGAAATCTAGGGGTTTGAGAAGATTCCAGAACCAGATTAGCGGACTGGGAAGAAAGGTGGGGAGGGTGGAGCTTGGGTGTGGTTGTCGTAGGATGTACTTAAGTCCCGGTGCCTCTTTTTGGCCCTTGTCACTGATCTCATGGAAGGTGAAGGTGTGGATCCGAAGATGGCAGGCTGCGAGGAGCTTCCGCAAGGTAAGCCAGAGGGGTGGGAACCGAAGCCGGGACAGGTGAAGATGCCGAGAGCGGCTGCCCTGTGGGATCCAGGCAGAGGGACCAGGTGGCCGCAGCCCACGCCTCACCCACGTGTGCGGCGGGCGGCGTGGCCACTGCCACCCAACAGCAGACGTGAGCGGGAAACCACAGACTAATGTCTCCAGTTCTCAGTCTTCCCCTTCTTACCGTGTCATAAGCCCTCCGATCCTCGGGGCTTGGCTCTGGAGCAAAAGGGAACCTGATCCCTATTAGGATGAGAAAGTCATGGATTACAGGCTTAATCGGGCTGGAAATCCATCGGCCAGTGAGCTTCTGCCGCACTCCAGGGCTGGTGTCAGACCATTTTCAGCCGTGATCTGATCCAACAATCAATGCCTTTCAAAGCCGAGTGACTAGGCAGAAGTCTCGGTTCTATACAGTGGTTGAGATGAGATGGAATGCTCAGCCCCGGCTCACGCGGCAAGTGAGCCCAAGGCCCGGGACCAGCCGTTGCTAATGCGGGAGCCCAGTTCCGTAAACGCCTACAGCGTCAGGCACGTGTTCTCACGGCCCCGCAGAGGTGACACATAGCCTGGCATCCGCTAAGCGCCCTGTGCCGTGGCCTCCTCATCCGTACCCACCACGTGGGCAATAATGAGACATGCATGGGCTGATGTTTGCAAAACACTTAGAACAGTGCCTGGCATAGAGCTGGGCTTCTGCGAAATTCTAAGAATATAAAACTGATATATATCTATATCATAATGTGATATATATAAATAAATATATGTTTTATATATATATAAAACATAAAAACAGTATATTTTATAAAAAATGTTTTATTTAAAAATATATTAAAATGCATATATTTGGCCGGGCGCTGTGGCTCACGCCTGTAATCCTAGCACTCTGGGAGGCCGAGGCGGGCAGATCGCTCGAGGTCAGGAGTTCGAGACCAGCCTGAGCAAGAGCGAGACCCCGTCTCTACTATAAATAGAAAGAAATTAATTGGCCAACTAATATATATAGAGAAAAAAAAATTAGCTGGGTACGGTGGCGCATTCCTGTAATCCTAGCTACTCAGGAGACTAAGGCAGGAGGCTGACGCCATGGCTCTCTAGCCCAGGCAACAAAGTGAGACTGTCTCAAAAAAAAAAAAAGAGCGAAAGGAGACTGTCTAGATCTCCAGGGGGCCACATGTGCAGTCTTGGAAAAGATTGAATGTTGATCCGTCTAGGTCTGTAGTGCTGGTTTTGTTCTATTTACTAATTATCCAGGTCTTACTAGACACTGGGCATCTTTCCAAGTGCACGGCCAATGTTAAGTCATTCGGTCGTCACGAGCACACTACTTCCAAACTTGCGCAGGACTGTCCACATGCCCCAGTGAGTGACTGATTGAGCCACGCAGACATGCGGCCTTGAGCAAGTTACTTAATCCTTGCCTCAGCTTTCCCCATCTGTAAAATGGTGCACACCACGTAGTG